GGCAACTATTACACAACTCCAAAGTATGTAATCCTTAGTAATAGTTTCATGTTGCAAGAAGTACTAGCCTAGCAAACCATCAGATACTGGAGTTTGTTGGTCCGACCAGTTTTGAGTTCAGACATTTAATTGTAATACACAGGTTTGTTAGCATGTAGCCTAGCTTTAGCATTTAGCCTAGCTTTAGCCATCTCCTTTGCCACTAACGGAGCCCGTGGGGAGTAGAGCCACAACATCTTTGCTCAATGACATTTACTAAACATTCCTCTTGCTCCGGCTTCAGTTTCTTGATATTTGGATTGAACCAGAACAGATTATTTTACTATCGCATTCTCCGACAAACTACAACCAGCAAATTCAGCACAAACTCTTGACGTCACCGACACCGACCTACAACACCCGCCTCCCCCGCTCTCTGATTGGTCGGATTCAACCGAGGAAACTGCAGCCGCTAGGATCAGACCCAGACGTACATGTAGGAAATGATCATGGACCAGAGTTTACACATGGTAAGACCAGACGTACATGTAGGAGATGACCATGGACCAGAGTAGGGCTGGGCGATTAATCGATTTTAATCATTAATTTGAGTTTTACGTTTAGGGCGATTTCTTTTTTTAAAAATTCGATTTTTATTTTCTCTAGCGCAGAACTACAGCGCTAACGCGCTAACCGCGGGTCTATGGTGTTGAACAGTCATTTTGAAGCTAACCTAATGCTAACAGTCTCCCTCTGGCCTGATGCGCGCTCTCACAGTTGGTGCTGTTGCAATAACACTTCAAACGTTCAAGAATCAGACTTTATTTAATCGCCAAAACACACACACACACGCACGCAGGCTCCGGTCGCTATGTTTGTACGCCATGTTCGTAAGCCACATCTTTCACGCTCTCTCACGCTCGTTATTCCAAAGCACACTCCCGTGTCCGTGGCGCGCACACACTCGTGTCCCACTGAGCCGCTGCACTTTGGGGAAAGACACGTCTCACACATTGCTCTCATTGCTCTGATACAAACAACGTGTTCCCCGCTGTCTGTTAGCTACAGTAGCTGCTACAGTAGCTGTTAGCTACAGTAGCTGCTACAGTAGCTGTTAGCTACAGCATCAGAATGTAAACAGGAAGCTAGTACAATGCGGGAGTCACTGAAGTTAGTATTAGCGCCACCAGCTGGACCGAGCGTTGTACTACAGCACAGTTACTCAGGCACAGTTGAAAGAACAAGCATGAAAACCCGAGGAGGCTTTTGGAAAAGACTGTCTCTTACAACATCTCTATTTTGAGTAATCAGTTTTAAAAATGTGATATTTCATGTAAATAATACATGTGTTTAGTAGGATTGATATATTTGCGATGGGCCTTGTTTGTGTGATTTAAGTTATTTTGAAGGTGCATAGTGTGATTGTAAGTGAAGTTATTATAAAACTGTTAAGCTACATTTTCACTGTTTACAATGGCAGAGCCATCTCGTTTACAAGCATGTTTTAAGGCTTAATTCCTGTTACACTTATGCTCCATGGGGATTTAGATTAAACTGCATAAAGGAAAATCTATTTCTTTGTCAGTTGTAGTTTGTTTTTAAATAGAAAAAAATTAATCAATTAAAATCAAAAATCGGATTTGGTGTGAAAAAATCGGAGATTTTTTTTTTTTTGCCATATCGCCCAGCCCTAGACCAGAGTTTACACATGGTAAAACCAGACGTACATGTAGGAAATGACCATGGACCAGAGTTTACACATGGTAAGACCCAGACGTACATGTACGAACACAAACGCTTAGAGGAAGCCAACTCTCCACACCTGGTTTTGTAACAACTATACCATCACACACACAGACCCAATAACAACATAGAACCAAGTCCTCACACTCTCACAAAAAACAATATATACATTTCTTAACTTTTGTGGGAATGTCAACCAATAAGTCTCTCTCACAGACGCACACGCACACACACCTTTCTTTTATTTCTTATCTGAAAGAATCTTATGTAAATCTTGATTTGCATTGTTTCTGTTCCTTACAATAATAATCATGATATTTATATATATATATATATATATTTTTTTTTAAATAGAAAATAAACTCTAAAATGCTCCTGAATACCATAAAAAGATGATGCCAAGAACCGAGCAAAAAAGCATAAAACGCTAACATTTCATGCACACAGATTACAGCAAATAACCATCAAAATATGGAACAATAATGTGAGAAATGTGTTTTGTTCTATCACTAGTTTTCACAGAGGGAGGATACCGGCCCTCTCAGCCAATCAGCTCTCAGTATCTCAAAGATTAAAACATTTTCAAAAGACGATAAAGACAGAATGTTGTGGTCTGTTTTCTCACCAAATGTAACTTAAACAAGAGTCCGCTGGAATAAACAAGATATATTTATGAAACACACGAGAGAGAATAAAGTAGGCACCTGAAGCTTTAAAGACGATGTACCTAATTTTCCCTTGCACCTCCAGTTTCAGAATCAAACAGACTTAATGACATTCTGCCTCAGACTGTTTTGAAATGTCCCTCATCTGTAACAAATAGTTTTGGTCTGAGTCTAAACAGAAAGATAGAATATTAATAATGTTAATGCCATTTTATTTGGATTTATTGTTATAACAAACTAATACAGTTCATATGTTCACTATGTTGGTAGGTATCTTTCCATTCAAAGCATTTACAGAAAAATATGGCATCGTTTTGTCAATTGTTCGAAATGCAATTAATTACGATTAATTCATTTTTAAAGAAATAGTTCACCGTTTTTACATACTGACATATGTTCTTACCTTACCTTAGACTAGTTAATACGTATCTGTCTGGTCTTAGTCCATGCGCTCTGTCATGCAAACGGAGCAAAAACGGGAGCACAACCGCAGCCTCCTCTGTATATTTTGTAGCACCAAAAGGTAGCTCCCGCTAGAAGCTACCAAACTCTTCCAAGTGTTCCCTATTAAATGTATATAGTTACGTGACGTGTTACACTGCAAAGTATAGTAACACAGAATTGTAACAGTCAATTTTCTCAGCGGATAAAACGGGTACTATATTGTGAGGCGTAGTAATCTGAGGTGCGCTACGTCCGCGCACTAACTTCTCTCCGGAGACTTCTCTCTCGCTCACTTCCGTCAATAGAAGCAGCGTGACTTGTAGTACGGAGAGAAGTTAGTGCGCGGACGTAGCGCTCCTCAGATTACTACGCCTCACAATATAGTACCCGTTTTATCCGCTGAGAAAATCGACAGTTACATTTCTGTGTTACTATACTTTGCAGTGTAACACGTCACGTAACTATATACATTTAATAGGGAACACTTGGAAGAGTTTGGTAGCTTCTAGCGGGAGCTACCTTTTGGTGCTACAAAATATACAGAGGAGGCTGCGGTTGTGCTCCCGTTTTTGCTCCGTTTGCATGACAGAGCGCACGGACTAAGACCAGACAGGTACGTATTAACTAGTCTAAGGTAAGGTAAGAACATATGTCAGTATGTAAAAACGGTGAACTATTCCTTTAAGCTGTAATTAACTCGAGTAAAAATGTTAATCGTTTGACAGCCCTAGTTTTTATACATTAGTACAACACCGATTGGAGTCTTATCTGTGTGGCGTTCGCACCAGGCTGTTGTTGTCATTTTGAATTACTTTGTTGCATCACAAAAGAACTGTCCCTTTGTAGTCTTGTGTTGTGTTCAGGCCCCAAAGACAGAGTTATCTTCATGTCAGTGCTCTGCTTTCATTCTTGGCTTGTTTTCAAATCAATGTTGTGATGAAAATGGCCCAGATGTGAGGGGAAACTGCTTTAATTTCAATAATATTATCCTGGGAAATTTAAAATGACGTCCCACATTACATATATTATTGTCAGGTTAGAAATAAAAAAAAGGGGGATTAAAATGAAATTAAAAATGTTAACATGTGGTGAACCTACAAAAGAGTGTTTACTGCAACTAACTGTGGCTAACTGTGGCCAACTGTAGCTAACTGTGGCTAACTGTGGCTAACTGTGGCTAGCTTAATTAGCATCTGTGGTAGTTGGCACACAGCTCTATTGTAGTGAACTTCACACTTCTAGTTCTGCTTTTCACTGGTTGTTCAGACGTGACGGAGCAGGTCGGACTCTGGGAGTGGCTCTGATTCACACACACGGAGCTTCCTCTGAATCCAGATACTGTTGCAATGGAATCACCACAGACACACACACACACAACGCACACACACACGCACACGGTGGGGGGGAATCCATACTGTTCATTATTGTGATATTTTGCACATGCATTTAAATCGATATGAAGCAAACTGACTCCCACTGATGACTGCTGTCGTTGTGTCCTTGGGCAAGACACTTAACCCCACTTTGCCTGAAGCCCCCACTGAAAGATCAAGGCTATGCTCACACTGACAGAGAAATGGATTAAGGGGAAGAAGAGGGATTGGTAAACGGATAGATGCAGCAAATTGAAGCGATACAAACAAAATATCTGTTTTCTCCGAGTTTACATCCGAGGTTACTTTCTTATGTTTGCTTTTTGATAATTTGCAAGTTTCAGTGCTGGGAGTTTCTTTATGTGAGAGTCGCCTTCAGAGAATAATCATGTATTGTCTGTAATAAGTTCCTAATAAGGCGTTTGCTTTGGTTCATGTACAGACAATATCACATTTGTTGAGCAGACTTTTTTACCTCCATTTGTGTAATGCTTTTGAGGGACATGAACCGCAATATATCGCAGAATCGAATCAAAATACTGTCTGTATCGCGATATGTTGAGAATCCCAATAATACTGACTTGGCCAAAACATTGCAATACTATCGAATCTGCACATTTTTGCCAATCCCCACTCCTAACAGTCACACACACACACACACACACACACACAAAGACACAAATGCGCTTCTGTCTAAAATGCATAGGTTTGGAAAAGTCGTTTTGATCCCAAGTCTTACGCACTGTACCTTTAAGACGCACAAACTAGGCACAAGACAAAAACAAGACTTCAAGCCTCATGAGCTCTTACCTCTCGTTCCAGTCGCCATATCGGCCACTTTCTGAAACGCGTCTAAAAAGGCTCCCGTCACCAAGATGGTCGTCCTGCAACAGAAAAAACAAGAAAAAAACAAGAAAAAACATGAAATGGGAGTAAAAACACCGGAAGTATTTAGGATGATTACGCCAGAAGTCCTTCCTTTCTGTAAAAATGGGTTTTTCACCGGTTTATTTCAGTCCTTTAACTTTGTCATCTTGGTCCTCTGTCTTTGACCTCTTCTCAGTTTCTACCTAAAGTCCTTAAAGCTAATTTCTGGATAATGTAATTTTTGGGTTCAACAATAATGAAGATTACATCATGGTCCAGCAGGATCCAGCAGGGACTTTATATATAGGGAGGATACCTGGAGTTATGTGAGGAGAGAGAAGAGAGATGAGAGAGGAGAGAGGAGGAGAGAGAAGGAGAGAGGAGAGAGGAGGAGAGAGAAGAGAGATGAGAGAGGAGAGAGGAGGAGAGAGAAGGAGAGAGGAGGAGAGAGGAAGAGCAGGGAGAGCGGAGAGAGAGGAGACAGGTGGTAGATAAGCAGAGAGGGAAAGAGAGAAGAGAGGAGGAGAGAGGGGACGGGAAGAAGAGAGGATGAGAGAGTGGAGGGGAGTAGAAGAGAGGAGGAGTAAAGTAGATAGACGGAGCAAGAAGAAAGAGAGAGGAGGGAGGAGAGAGAGAAGCAGAGAAGTGGAGCAAGAAGAAAGAGAGAGAGAGATAAGAGACGAGAGAGAGGAGACAGGTGGTAGAAAAGCAGAGAGGGAGAGAGAGGAGAGTAGAAGAGAGGAGGAGATAGGATCAGAGAGAGAGGCGGAGCATGGAGAGAGAGAGATAAGCAGAGAGGCAGGGAGAAAAGAGACCTGAGAGAGGAGGAGAGACCAGAGAGGAGTACAGTAGATAGACGGAGCAAGAAGAAAGAGAGGAGGGAGGAGAGAGAGAGAAGTGGAGCAAGAAGAGAGAGGAGGAAAAAAAGGAGGAGAGGAGAGAGGCGGACTTGCAACAGCAGTGCAGCATGGCTTTGTTTACATTTCTCCTCTCGGTTAAAAAGTAAAAGTCGTGCATATGTCCTTCATAAAGTATTACTGAGATGTTTAATGGTGTTTTTAGATCCATCCAGGCCACTATCAGGAACTTACTTCACACATTATAATTAATATAACCCTAACCCGACCCCAGGGAACCACTAATCTGAAGTATGACATAATAATAATATAATAATGCATCGGTTTTATATAGCGCTTTTTTGGACACTCAAAGACGCTTCACATGTGTCATTATTCATTCACTCCATACACGGTGGTGATAAGCTACTACTGTAGCCACAGCTGCCCTGGGGCACACTGACAGAAGCGAGGCAACCAGTATGTGCCATCGGCCCCTCCGACCACCACCAACCATTCACACACACACCAGACTCATTCTAGGCAATGGGGGTGAAGTGTCTTGCCTAAGGACACAACGGCAGTTTGGCACTTTACAGCCGCAGCCGCCCCACTGTGGCTGGTGTTCCCAGAGGTTAAGTGTCTTGCCAAGGACACAACGACAGTAGTCAGTGGTGAAAGTCTTGAGCGGGGCTTGAACCCACGACCTTCTGGCTCAAAGGCCAACGCTCTACCAACTGAGCTACTGCCGCCTTAATGAATTCATACGTGATGAATTACATACACTGCACTGTATTTTAGCAAAGACTTCATGTTATAACATTCAAAACTCTATGCAAACACACTCATTGTAGAGAGGCATGCAAAACACAGCACAGAGAGACTGCCAAAAGTGTTTCGAGTGTGGGTGAAAGATCTCGGTACATCCTGGAGTTGGTGGTCTCCTCGCGGTCACATGATCTGCTCTGGTTCATTCGACCTTCTGACAGTGGCCCATACGAACCACACAAAAGCCCTATTCAGCCCGGTGAAGCAGTCTCCGGTTACACCCGTGCACCTTCACAATAAAAGCCTCATAGGTGGCCTTTGATGTAGATGGGAATGGAAAAAAACGATCCTGTTACATTATTGTGACATTCTATCAGAGCCGCGATAATGAGATGGCCACTTGAAAGCTCATTTGATCTGAAGGAGCTGAGGGAAAAAAAATATATATATATATACACAATGTTTCAGGATGGTGACTTATTACTGTATATGTAGAATCTTCAGCCTCCACCATTTTGTAGACAGTGTGGTTACTCTTGAGCTGTATATTTGATAGTGATTGGTTGGTAAAGGTGCACTAAAAGGCAATTCATTTTCTGCATTTGACCCATCCTGATGCCGCTAAGGCTTACGTCAGGAGCAGTGGTCGCCGTAGTAACAGCGCCCGGGAACCCATCTCCAGATGTTGATGCTCGGCTTGGTCAGGACCAGAGCTGGAGGATTTTACCTAGTGACATGTTTTTAGTGGTAGGGGAAACCGGAGTACCCTGAAGAAACCTACGCAAGCACGGGGAGAACATGCAAACTCCACTATGAAAGACCCCGTTCCGACCGGGATTCGAACCCAGGACCTTCTTGCTGAGAGGTGAAAGGGCTAACCACTCAACCTCCGTGCCACCCGGTTGAGCTGTATATTTGTTAGTGATTGGTTGAGCTGTATATTTGTAGCCGGACTCTTGCCAGACCTTGTAGTTCCGCCATGCTCCACTGGAGGCGTTTCCCTGAGCTTCCCACAAGGGTCTGGGATCAAGGGCAATGCAAACTCCTTCAAGATGGCACAAAAAATACTGAACCAATCAGGAACGCCGGTGTAACGTCGGTTTGCACGGCCTTCTCGAAATCCGCTGCCACCGCCGTTTATGGTGTAATGCAAACCAAGATGGCCGACATTAAGTCTGAATGGTTTCAAAAGTTTAAATACAAACAAATGAAAAGACGGATGTCACTTTTGATGCAATTTGAGGCGAGGCGTTGATGGTTCCATGTTGTTATATGTGGGCTTGTTTGTGATTGGTTGAGCTACATATTTGATAGTGATTTGTTGAGCAGGCATTCAGTAAGTGGATTAAATTCTGTGTGAGGTGGATTTAATAGACTTACCGCAGTCCACTCAACTTAAGTTAGAGATCTGTTATTACAACACTTATTATAACACTGAAAATACATTATATACAGTGCCTTGCGAATGTATTCGGCCCCCTTCAACCTTTCAACATTTCGCCACATTTCAGGCTTCAAACATAAAGATATAAAAATTTAATTTTTTGTCATGAATCAACAACAAGTGGGACACAATCGTGAAGTGGAACAAAATGTATTGGATAATTTAAACTTTTTTAACAAATAAACTGAAAAGTGGGGCGTGCAATATTATTTGGCCCCTTTACTTTCAGTTCAGCAAACTCATTCCAGAAGTTCAGAGAGGATCTTTGAATGATCCAATGTTGTCCTAAATGACTGATGATGATAAATAGAATGCACCTGTGTGTAATCAAGTCTCCGTATAAATGCACCTGCTCTTTGATAGTCTCAGGGTTCTGTTTAAAGCGCAGAGAGAACCATGAAGACAAAGGAACACACCAGGCAGGTCCGAGATACTGTTGTGGAGAAGTTTAAAGCCGGATTTGGATACAAAAAGATTTCCCAAGCTTTAAACATCTCAAGGAGCACTGTGCAAGCAGTTATATTGAAATGGAAGGAGTATCAGACCACTGCAAATCTACCAAGACCCGGCCGTCCCTCCAAACTTTCATCTCAAACAAGGAGAAGACTGATCAGAGATGCAGTCAAGAGGCCCATGATCACTCTGGATGAACTGCAGATAGTAAGTAGTAGTAGTAAGTAATGTTTATTTATATACCGCCTTTCACAGACAAGAGTCACAAAGCGGTTTACAATTGTGCACTGCACAAATCTGGCCTTTATGGAAGAGTGGCAAGAAGAAAGCCATTTCTCAAAGATTTCCATAAAAGGTCTCTTTTAAAGTTTGCCAAAAGCCACCTGGGAGACACACCAAACATGTGGAAGAAGGTGCTCTGGGCAGATGAAACCAAAATCGAACTTTTTGGCCACAATGCAAAACGATATGTTTGGCGTAAAAGCAACAGAGCTCATCACCCTGAACACACCATCCCCACCTCAGCTGTAGTTATCTGCAGTTCATCCAGTTCATCCATTTCGGACAACATTGGATCATTCAAAGATCCTCACTGAACTTCTGGACTGAGTTTGCTGCACTGAAAGTAAAGGGACCGAATAATATTGCACGCCCCACTTTTCAGTTTTTTATTTGTTAAAAAAGTTTTAATTATCCAATAAATTTCGTTCCACTTTGTGATTGTGTCCTACTTGTTGTTGATTCATGACAAAAAAATTAAATTTTATATCTTTATGTTTGAAGCCTGAAATGTGGCAAAATGTTGAAAGGTTCAAGGGGGCCAAATACTTTCGCAGGGCACTGTATATATTATAATACTAAAAGACTGATGGGTGAAGATCTGTCTTTGTCTACAATGACCCACACCCCATTGACAACGATCTCCACAGAGAGCCTTAACCAGAAGTGGGATTGAAATATTGAATTAAAGAGGCAGTAATATACCATTTCATATCAACTAAACAAGTCAGAAAATGAAATTATATTAGCGCTGAAAAACATTGTGTTCACTTGATTCATTACAAGATGTGGAGACACTGGTGCTGTCTTTTATAATCAAATTTTTTTGTCTTGTCTGTAATAGTTGAATTGAGTTTTACAGTAGGAGTAGCCTGGCCTTAGCTATCCATAAACTACGGTCAACTATCACTTTCTACATGTACGTCTGGGTCTGATCTAGGGCTGCACGACATTGGAAATTAGTGCGATATTTGATGAGTCTTTAGTATTGCGATAACAATATTATTGCGATATTTTTGTCTTTCACCTAAAATTACAATCTGTATTTAAACGCAACAGACAAATAACAAAAAAATAACATTAATGACCTTCAAATGCATATTTTTAGAGGTGCACCGAGCGATCGGTAGCCGATTATAATTGCCCGATCACGGCTTAATTTGCGTGATCAGTGAAATGTGCCGATAACAAAGACCAATCATATGACATGAGGATTCATGCGCACAAGTTACGTTCTCTCGTCAAAACTGCGTAAACAAGAAACTCATGCAGCTGTCAGTTATGGAGATTCTACAGCGGCAACAACTAGGGGTGGGAACCTAAGGGTACCTCACGATACGATACGATACAAAGCTCACGATAACGATATCACGATAACGATATCACAATATGACGATTATTGATATATTGGTCAGAAATATACAATATGCCAATTTATGACATAAATAAAAGAAACAATACTCTTTATTTCATGATAAATGGAATGGAGATGCGTAATGTAGCCATATATTAAGTATTGATACCAATTAAAAAATAATAATTTGTTAAAAAAAAAAAAAAAAAAATTGATATTGATACTTGGCAAATGCATATCGATAATCGAATCGCGGGAGAAAGTATCGCGATATATCGAAAAATCGATATATTGTCACACCCCTAGCAACAACCACACGGTAATGACGTAAGAAACAACACGAAATATGCACGAAAGTTATGGAATTAATTGCCCTCTGCCCCCAGCGCTTGTCTGTCGTGGAAAACGCTGGGTTCAAACAGCTCATGTCCACTGCTTCAATCTGCCATGGCGGAGATATAGCGTTACTTACTACATAGTTTCGCATCGGAGCTGGAGCCGCTTGTTTATTGGAAGGAAAATAAAAGGCGCTTCCCTCCTTTGGCCAAAGCAGCGTCTTTCCTCTGCTCCGTGCACAAGTGCAGACAGTGAGAGTTTAGAGCAGCAGGACTTTTCAGGATGATAAACTTAATAAACCTCTGCTAATGCTGAGATGCTAATATTACTGAAGATCTAACATTGCCTTAACAATCTCTTCTTAATCAGTTTATAAATGCAGCATGTACAGTGTTGCTGTATTTCATTGCTCTGTAACGTTTACTTGTGGTTCCCAACCTTTTTGTCTTGAGTTCCCCTAGGGCATTTTTATTATACTACCTAGTACCTTGATGGTTTTGAAAGATTAGTTAAAAAGTTAATAACTAGTCCTATTCATTTATCACTACTATTTTCAATATTAGATCGGATCGTCAATGATCGGTATCGGCCGATCAAAATTTTTATGATCGGTGTTCGGCCAAAAAAATCCTGATCGGTGCACCTCTAATATATTTATATACTTTGTTTGTTCTTGTTGAATGTTTATGTGTCTGTTTTGTTGTCTTATATCCACGATATTAATAAATAATCGCGGATATTTTCAGTGTCTGCAGTTTCCTCGGTTGAATTCCCTCCGACCAATCAGAGAGCGGGGGAGGCGGGTGTTGTAGGTCGGTGTCGGTGACGTCAAGAGTTTGTGTTGAATTTGCTGGTTGAAGTTTGTCGGAGAACGCGATAGTAAAATAATCTGTTCTGGTTCGACTCCAAATGTTTAGCAAATGTCATTGCTGCAAAGATGTTGTGACTCTTCTCCCCAAAAGGCTCCGTTTGTGGTAAAGGAGTTGGCTAAAGCTAGGCTAAATTCTATGAAATGAAATGTGTATGATGGTGTGGTAAGACCAGGCTACAGTAGCAGAGTGGGCCCTGGGTTTGCCTTTATCAGTGGAATTCTCATGTTTATATTTTGTATTTATTTACCGAAAGGCAACAAAGTAACAGACAACAGTGAAGTGAAATCCCCAGCTCCTGCAGCTTTTCCTCTAATTATGCACTTCCAACTTCCCATTGACTCTGATACTCTCCTGTCCCTGCTGAAGAAAAGCGGTACTGATGCTCATGACCACAGCACCTTCTTCCACGTGTTGAACGTTTCCCCCACACTGACTTTCAACTCACCATTCGTCCATAAAGCTCACATGACTGTGGTATATGCCTATTATTTGCCCCATTAGCTCCTCCAGAGTAACCATGGGCCTCGTGGCTGCATCTGTGAACAGTGTTGCACATCTTTGAGCTGCGAGTTTGGGAAGAGAGCCGAGTCTGGGTAGATTTGCATCTAGATTCTATGAAAAAATTATTTAAAAATAGGTATGTAGGAGGATTTTAAGGACATTGGAATAAACCGCCCTCTGGACTTTTTGAACTAAACTCTCTGGTTTAATTTGACGAGCATGTATTATCAGAATGATTGACAGTTGGGAGGACCAATAGTCTTGATGATCCACCTGGAAGTTGAAAATCCTCCAATATACCTTTAACTCAATGCCTGCCAGCCTATTTCAGAACAGGTACTCCCATATTGCCAGCAGTTTCTGATGATTATTTTTTGTTTGTTTTTTTGAGTGATTCTATCTGTGCCAAATGTCACAATGTTTATCTTATCTTAACTGTACTCTGTGAGATGTTCAAAGTATGAGACTGCTCAAACCCCCTCCATACTTCATACTTCATCCCTGACCTTTATGATTTACTCCTTGGCCTTCGTGATGCTGTTTAGTGACCAATATTCTCTAAACATAGCTCTCAGAACATCTGTAATTACCCTAATATCAGATTACACACAGATGAGCTCTATTTAAAGGTGAGGACACAATGAGAAATGCTGTTCCGTCACTTTTGAATAACAACATTTACAAGAATTATCGTCACGTCACAGTTGTCAGTAAAATCTTTGTTTGTGGTTGTAACATGACAGAATCTCCCGTCCAGACAGTTAAGCACAGGCACTGTAGGTCTGTCTCCTGGCCTGGGAAAACCTCGGGATTCCCCCAGATGAGCTGGAAGAAGTGTGTGCTGCTCTCTCCTCACCTGAGCTGTGACTGTAGTTTGGCTCCTTTGGTTACAAAATCCTCCCACGTGGGATAACTGGCCTGTTAAACACAAAGAAGGGAAAAAAAATTACTACATGTCACATTTTAGCCACACAAACTCAAATTTGGCATTTGGATTGAAAATGTGGATCACTTTAGAGGCATTTTTGTTTTGTCACAATAAATACTGTAGAGTTAAGCGTCTCACCAACTGCAAAAGCTAGTTTAAACCCAAAGGAACAAGATTTCCATAGAAATAAGGCTGTATTTTGGGTTAGAAATAAAATAAGAATAAAAAAAGTAAGGATCCATCCATCCATTTGTTGGGTCAGGGAGGTGGCCAGAGCTGCACCCAGTCCACATAGCACAAGCCACTCACTGATCCTCCTGCAGGTGCTGAGTCCACAGGAGGATGGCCGCTCTATGCCTTGATCTTTCAGCAAGGGATTCAGGCAAAGTGGGGTCAAGTGTCTTGCCCAAGGACACAACGACAGCAGTCATCAGTGGGAGTCGGTGGAGGTCTCATGATGGGCTCGAACCCACGACCTTCATGCTCAAAGGCCAATGCTCTACCAACTGAGCCACTGTCGCCTCAAAAAAAGCAAGGATGCATTTATGAAAGCGGGTCACTACCATAGGCTTGTACTCTTACTCCTACCATTGGACCCGATCCAGGCAACAGATATCCACATTACATTAGCTTCTTGACAGCAGATAGCTGGGTATGGGGATCTCCTAAAATTTGTAGCGAGAAAGCACTTGCTCCTAGCGTTGCGGCAAAGCTAGCAGCATGCGGATGTCGGCCGTATAGCAGTTTAAGTAAACGAGTGTCAAGAGTAAAGCAGACTGTACGTTGTGGCAAAACTATCAAGAGGCGAGTCCAAAGCACGTATAACACCAACAAACGTCCGAAAACTAGTATAGCAGCAAAGTATAGCACCTTTGCTAGCACCGAGCACAAAAACAACCGACTGTGCAACATAGCATTTGTATGAGTGGAATTTGACAGTGGCTCTTATTGTTGACCGTTAAAACCATTACCTAAATGTATAATTGTTAAAACATTTTCTTATTGTTGAAATGAGAAATAAAACATTTTAAACCGTTTTAGTTTTATGAATTTCCAGAGATAACACAATGCAGTAATGTTTAGAGTATGTGCAGTACTTGTATCGGTATTCAGTATCGGCAAGTACTCAAATTGAGGTACTTTAATTCTAGTCTGCAAAAACACTTGTATGTCAAGGGCAACAAAGTCAGATAAAACTAAAACAACTTAATGCTCGGTCACATCCTAAGCTCATACACACCAACAGTTGTTTGATTCATGAACAAAAACCCTTAAAAAGGTTCACGAGGGTCATGAGTTCAAAGCCCCCTGAGCTCCATGTGTTCTGCACGTTCAGTGTGTGTGGAAGAGTTTGGCTGCTGCGTCTGGATTGTGGAGGCAGAGTCAGGAATGTGACGGGCTCAGGCCAAATAACAAACAGGTGAAACAGTCGTTCTGACTGCCTCACACGGCTCCTCTTGGTGAAACAGTCGTTCTGACTGCCTCACACGGCTCCTCTTGGTGAAACAGTCGTTCTGACTGCCTCACACGGCTCCTCTTGGTGAAACAGTCGTTCTGACTGCCTCACACGGCTCCTCTTGGTGAAACAGTCGTTCTGACTGCCTCACACGGCTCCTCTTGGTGAAACAGTCGTTCTGACTGCCTCACACGGCTCCTCTTGGTGAAACAGTCGTTCTGACTGCCTCACACGGCTCCTCTTGGTGAAACAGTCGTTCTGACTGCCTCACACGGCTCCTCTTGGTGAAACAGTCGTTCTGACTGCCTCACACGGCTCCTCTTGGTGAAACAGTTGTTCTGACTAGGGATGTAAAAAACTATGAATTTTTATGACCGACCACCGAGCCTCCGTGTACTTTAAAAGATTCCACGTTCTTTGAAATAACAGCCATTTCGAGCCGCGTACTTTCCATAAGAGCCGAGACAGCGGCACCAAAACCCGCAACAGCTTCGGCACCTTTGCGCACAGAGAACTCGCAGGTCTTTGCTAAAGTTTAAGTGATCAGTGTGGAGCTGATGCCAAGGACCAGCAGCACAAACATGTTCCATGTGGTTTGTGTGCGTGCATGTGTGGCGCGTGCGGCATGAAAGTCGGCCCGTAGTTTACTGATACATTGGCGCACACAGCTAGAGACAGACCCGCTCGTCACACTGTGCAAATAGGGCTTAAAATAGCGTTATTAAGAGACCTCCCCTCTCCCCTTTTTTCTTTTTTTTAACCGACAGCTTTGACTAGTTAACGCTGTGACGGTCAACCACCGGTTGAACGGTCACCGATTTATATCCCTAGTTCTGACTGCCTCACAAGGCTCCTCTTGTGAAACTGCTGTGGTCAGGACTCAGATCAAAGCAGGGCTACGATCAAGCTAACTCAACCAACACTGGCTAATGCTACACAGGAAGTACATACAGTAGATTTAGAGCCTGGGTTTGAGTCCACCTCCAGACAAGGCCCTGTGTGTTTGCATATTCTACCCATGTCTGTTTAGGTTTCCTCTGGGTGCTCCGGTTTCCCCTACCACTTAAAACATGTGCAATAGGTCTGAATGTAAGGCAAGTCAAGGCAAGGTTATATGTATAGCACAGATTATACACAAGAAAACTCAAAGTGCTTAACAAAACAAGATTCACCCAATAATACACAATAAAATCCTAAATAATAACAGTGCATTAAAAAGAGTCAGAGAAGAAGCCTGTCATTTTCAGGGAGACTGTTCCAAATTATAGCTGCATGAATCTGAAATGCAGCCTCCCAATGTTTATTTCGGACTCGGGCACCAGCAGGAGGCCAGTCCCTGTGCTCCTCAGAGTCCCAACAGGAGGCCAGTCCCTGTGCTCCTCAGAGTCCCAACAGGAGGCCAGTCCCTGTGCTCCTCAAAGTTGGTTCATATGGCACTAACATGTCAAAGGTGTATAAAAACTGTGCAAACGAGAAGGGCAAGAAATGTACAAAATAAGTTATTGTAAATTAATAATTGTAATAATAATACAATTGTAATATTGTAAAGGTTATAAAAGGTACTATTGAAATCGCTCGATTCTTCACGGCCGTCTGAAAACAATCTAAGGGGCCTTGTGGCAGGAATGTCATCTACGTTTGTTGTTATACTGGGTGATTCATGTAGATTTAAAAGACAGTGGAACAGTCTCTGTGCAGAAGGTGTGAAGTATAATCCTGTTATAATCCGGCTCAGATAATCCAGACTCTTCCTACTACACTGACCGATGCTGCTGCCCCTTCAACTTCACTTCAACAACAGAGAAACAACATTTATCTGACGCTTAGGTTGCTTAAATTAGATACATGTGACCCTTCATCTGTGCAGTATTTTAATAATAATAGTGTGTATATATAAATGACAAAATCCTGTGTTTTATTTTGATGCATTGTGAAAAAGAAAAATACTACAAGTGAAAATGAATTCTTGGCCGATCAATCTTTACAAAACTAAATATTTATTGTATGAATCAAATAATCTTCAGTATTTAGCATTTTTGAACATGCTAGCCTCTTACAGCTAATCTGGTTTTACAGCTAATTACCACAGGAGGCGTTATAGCACGTACGCAGCAGACGTAAAACGGACGTATGACACAAGGCTGCATCTAAATTAGGATTACTGATTTTGTGTGCGCAGCAACGCGTCTCCCGGTCAAAAGATATTAGCAGGAGCAGCAGGTTTTACAGTGACTCTCAAAAAGCAAAGGGTAAGGAGTGCTGCGTGGTACAAGCGTGTAAAATTATTTAAAAGACCAGGTGCTCAATTGGAAACGGGTTTAACTTAGTAACCAAAAAAGTTCTGACTTTCCAGGTAAAAGGCAAAACCTTGAAGAAAGCCAAGCTAGGCTGAAACGCGTTGGTGCGTATTTTAATCCACAGCCATGAGAAAATAAAGGCTTTTTAAACTTTCCTAAACTACTGACCACGAGTTCCTTGGATTTTTTTGATTTTCGAAGTTCTTCACCATCTGTCTTTTACCTGGAAAGTCAAAACTCCATTTTTGGTTACTAGGTTTTACAGTGACTCTGGACATGTTTTTGTTTCTTTTATAAAGTCTTGCGTCTGGCCAGTCCAGCAACAGAGACCATGAAGACAAACACATGCAGGCGATTTGTGTTGCTCTACATCAGTCCTCTGCCCGTAGTCACTTATGCCGCTTTTCCACAGTGTCATTACAGTTCGGTACGACTCTACTCGGCGCGCAACGGCCGAGTTTGCTTGGTTTTCCATTGAAATCGTACTGAAAAAACTGTAGTGACGTCATTTACGCGCGACGCACACACACAAAAAGAACAGCATACACCATCACAAACAATGGAGGCCACCGAGACGTACTTTTTGTTCTTTCTGTGGCTTGTACTTATACACAAGATCAAGAGCCAGAGAAGAATCCAGGCGGCAAGATGAAATAGAATTGCGAAGTACAGGAAGCTTGTGGAAGCCGTGCAGGAGGAGTATGGAGCCGAAGAAGGCACAAACAGTCTATCAATCTACACTTTAAGACTACACAGGGAGAGCATCTGAAGCCGCGGACCTGGGCACGGCCAGTGTAGATACAGCCAAATAATATTATGCGCGTAGTCTACGCTTAAGCACTGTTAAAATTAGCTCTACTCTGTATATTCCCTGTTATACTAAAACACGGCACGGGTCAGATGCAGATCTATAAGTGATACTGACATTTGAATGCAGTATTCAAAACAATACAGAGGGGAATGGCCAGGGAACCGCTGAGGAGTCACTTTGCAACAGAGCACAGAAGCAACAGGAAACGACAGTGGAAGCTCAAAAGTAAGATATTAACATTATCTTAAAGAGGGAGGTGTCGAGATGAACTGAATCTGTGACAGTCATGAGTTGAATCCTTTAATATTCAGTTGTATGAATGCCTCACATCTGTTCTGCATGGAGTCCACAGACTTCTAGAACCTTCCAGACCAAGGAGGATTTCACCACATTCCACTCAAAGTCAAAGCAGTGACTCAGATTGGT